TTCCCGCGAATTAAATGTTCGCGGGAAGCAGGGGAGGGGGCGGAGACTTTGGGAGGGGGCGGAGTTGGGGCGGGGGCGTGGGTGGGGCTGGGGGCGGGGCCAGGGCCCCGGGGAGTGTCCTCCATTTGGAGGCACAAAATATGGTAACCCTATGCAACTTCAGCTACAAGAATAGCGTAGCTGAAGTCGACGTATCTTAGATCGACTGACCTCCCATCCTCACGGTGCGGGATCGACGGCCGCGGCTCCTCTGTCGACTCCGCTTCCGCCTCTCGCCCTGGTGGAGTTCCAGAGTTGACGGGGAGCGCGTTCGGGGATTGATTTATCGCATCTAGATGAGACGCGATAAATCGATCCCCGATAGATCGATCGTTATCCAGCGGGTAGTGTGGACATACCCCTAGACACCTAAATACCATGATGCTGTCTTTAAATACAGTAGAACTTCCATTGGCATCCTGTCCAATACATCCTTAGACCTCCATTTTAATTTATGCAGCTGTGTTTATTTACATAGAGCCGACAAGTCCATTAAATAAGTCATCAGTTGCACTCATTTTTACCATCATAGTTTTCCAGTATATACACTTGGAGTGAGAGGCTTATTTACAGTGACTCAGGCAGGGTTGACCAATTAAGAAACAGAAAAGATCTATAAAGAGGAAAGTTTTTCTCTGCAGCATGAGAGTTAGCAAAGGGAAACTAACATGTTATTTAGCTGACACAGTAAACAAACTAGTACAACCAATCCTTCACATTCAGAGGTTAGGAGAAAAGACATTCTAGATGAGGTGGGTCATATGTATTATTTCAAAATATTATGTACACTGGCTCATGGGCATTCACCAAGAGAGGGAAATCAGTGAAAACTGGCATGTATTCAGTCTATGACTGAGCATGGATTTCACAAGAAAGACAGATGAACCAAACATTATTAACAATTTCCTGTTCTTACTATTAAGGGGTTTCACTGACTGAAGCTAAGCAACTGCCGAGAATACATCTCACACTAGAATTAAAATGAGAAAAGAGTTATAAGTTGACTTCCTTTCTGTAAATAACCTTTATCCACTCCTCCTTTCATTCATTTTATAAATGTGGGCTATAGTCAGTGTAAGTCCACTAGCAGGATGTGCTGGAAAAAAATTAAAAACTTCCAGTTTGACAGATATCCAGTAGTTCAATTTTTCATTTTTCCTGTAAAGTTAAATGGTATCAGTATTTAAAGTGTCTGAGATTTCCAAAAGGGAATTCTTCACAGTAGAAATATACTTTCCTTGTGGGCTTAACAAAGTAGCATTTAGTTTAATTTTTCATTAAGTAAATATAAGATTTTTCTGGGAAAATAACAGTGCAACTTGTCTCCTTGAGATAGTTTTGTAATATCAAGAAGCAGTGTTATAGTTTTGTTCCTTGAAAGACACTCAAAACAAGGTGGGCAAGATGTTGGGGGGGAAAACCAGCACCATGCAGTAGAATTCCCCAAGGGAAATTCATGTTTATTAAGTTGTTATTCTTGTTCAGTGAAGGTTAGCAAACATTTGAAAAAATTTCCTTCTGGGTCTAATAAAGTGAAAAAGGGGAGTGGATGTGATAATACCTGACAGGCCTTGGTTTTCAGCTTGTAGCATTGGTATTATTTTGCACTGTTTCAAGTTCTGGATCCCGGTTTCTGATAATATACCAACAATTCAAATATCTCTCTGAGGAAAACAAAAACAATTGCTCTTGTTCGCTGCGGTGCAAAATCATTCTATTTAATGTTGCATTATAGTTAGCATTTGACAGCTTCATACATAATGGCAGGGGTTAAGCATGCTGTATATTCAGCTGTACTGTAATGGAGACTTTCTTTTGCTATATTTCTTTCCAAATTTAGCATAGCTATTTCTTGCAGGCTTACAAGTCAGAATGAACTACTACTTCTACTTAGGACCTGACCTAATCAAAGTCAATGAAAAGACTCCCATTAATTTCAGTGCATATTACTGCAGGCATTTGATGCCTACAATGCAAAAATATACCTGAAAAAGTAGTAGACCCAAAACTAACATACAAAGATATTTCTTATAATTTCACATTTCAGCTAGGGTCTTCTCTCCAAAAGCATAATTGTCCCTTTTGTTCCTTAGTTTCTACCTTAGTGACACTTAGCACCACAAAGAACTCAAATCATGCTCATCGGAGAACAGACTTCTAATCGAAACAGCAGAATTCTAAGATTTGCTTTATTTTCTTTCAGCCTCATACAGCAATTGCATTCCTCCTCCAAGAGGCTTATTGTGTTACACTCACTAAAGAATTTGAATCCACTACACTTAGGCCATCTCTACACTACAAGTTTTGGTCTGTGCCAATTACATCAGCATTAAGACCGCAGCAGTTAGTAGATTGCGCATGTGCGTTTATACTTGACTGTTTGTGTTAGTGCTGCACATACTCACAAGGAGTGCTTGTGTAGATGCAAAGTGCAGTTCACTATGGATAGGTATCCCAGTGAGTCATGTGCCACCCTCCAACACAATTCCTTCTTATAAATTTTCACAATGCATTGTGGGGCACACACAAGTTGCGCAGGGAGAGCTGAAAGGAAGGGGTCAAGTTCCTCCATCCAAGAAAGCCAAGCCTATTTCATAATTTTCACATCTTTTTAAAAATCCCACACACCTGCGTGGTACTTGTCACTGTTCACCATCTCTGACAGAAGCATGGGGCCCAGTGACACTTGTTTTTTATAATTTGACAAAATGAATTGCAACCAGATTTTCCCCACCCTGGAATCCCTGTACTCAACAGTAATTTTTCTTGTGATAAAGATTAAAAAACAAAACAAAACTGGATGGCTTAGGAAATAAGAATTTTAATATAAAACTTTCACCTATCAGTCACAGAATCAGATCAAGCCCAAGTGGAGGATGAATGAAGTCAGAGCCAGACAGTAGTTTGGTGGACTGTGAAAAATGAGCTGTGCCTCATTTATGGTGGACAGGTGTCCTCATCACAGACTGACACCACAGCTGACAGACAAATGTTGGGACAAGCCTGGGGAATACACTATCTTTGCATCCCTAAAGGATATACATCTCCAGGTCAGGATGGAGAAATTTTGGGTGCATCCACATTAGTTAAAAAGTTAACATATGGTAGGAATACACCTAACATATGGTAAAATGCTACTGAAGTTAAGGTGGGTGAGGCAATATCTTTTATTGGGCCAACTTCTGTTGGTGAGAGAGAGAAGCTTTCGAGCTTACACAGAGCTCTTCTTCTGTATAAGCTTGAAAGTTTGTTTCTCTCACCAACAGAAGTTGGCTCAATAGAAGCTATTACCTCACCCACCTTGTCTCTCTAATATCCTGGGACCAACACGGCTACAACAACACTGCATCCAAAAATGGCAGATGGTGATGATAAGACGGTTTGTAATTTTCACATGCGTTAGCAAATCAAACTGCTAACGTGTTAAAAATGCAGCAAGATTTTTACCTCATTGTAGTTACTGCATATTAGCTGACATGTAGTAAGAACACACATTGTTTCCTAGTGAAGACAAGACTATTGAGGGGACTGTATAAGTCATAAGTCCCATAAGTAATTCCTATCACCTCTTGTTGGAATTCAGATGTCCACATTCATAGACAACTACCAAGAATAATGAAGACAGAATAAAATGAGTGGGGGAAATATAAGTGCCAATAAATTTAAAGCAAATGCTATTTCTGACATTGCTAACTTGTTTATGAGAGATGGATTTAAAAAAAGTAAAATTAAATATGAGTTTGGGAGTACTGGTTCTCACCTGCAGTCCTTAGTATCTGAAGAAAGGCATAACCTGGACATAGCTTGGTCACCATTGCAATACCTCCTGCCATAACAGCAAGAGTGACAGGCAAGACCTACTGTCCATCAGTGAGCAGTTTTGAGCGGGTCCCTCACTTAGGAAGACTGGCTTGAATTCTGGGCCTCGTTCCTCTCCAGGGAAACCTTTAGAAAACAAAAACCACACAAGAGGATCAGCCAAAAAAAGAGAGAGAGACTGACTCCAATACAAACACTATGGAGAAAACTGCTGAAAAATGAGGATTAGGCAACTTTGGCACCATTCAAGCAATGTGATTTCCAAATTAGATTTGGGATATATAGTCCTAAAAGGTTAACTGATTTGAATTACCCAGAATTACTGACTCTGACTACTTTAAATACGTGGCAAAACACAATCCATTTCCTTTCCATCTATAACTTCTGTTGAGTTCAGTAGTTCAAAAAGTCTTATTATCACAGCAGATAAGACAGAATTATGACTCTGGGTTTGACATAGTGGAGTGCCTCATTACACGTTGTCACAGACATCACAGAGTGCACCACAGATTTCCCCCTCAAGGAGAAATAATGAGCTGTCCTGGGTCCACGGCGCTTTTTACAGCATCTCAGATGTTTCCCTTTGTTTATTTTTTCATTAAAAAAAAATAGCAGCCAAAGTAAACAAAAAGTAAAACAACAGTAGTATAAACCTGATAAAGACCAAAATGCCATTGTTGCTGACCAAGCAAATACTGTACTAGTCATAGAAATAATCTGTTTATTGGCATTCTGTTGTAATAAAATGGGATGCCCGCATATTCTCTCTTGTACAATTCCCGCCTCATTATCATCCTGTCCAGTTTGCTGCAGGCCATGACGTAGTCTTTGATAATAGTTTTGGCATATGTTTCCTAGGGAAAGGCCTGGCCACCCTTCTGCTGAATGGATGTCCATCGCGTTAATGCTGAAGATACATATGTGCCGCCTCCCGCTGTGTCAAACCCTTAACACCCACGTGATCTGTCACTATCATTTAATACCATCCAAGCAACATTAATTATACAGATAGTACAGATCTTCTACAAATGGGAAATATATGTATTTATATTTTGCACACACATGAAATACACTATATATATATATTAGCAACAAAAATTACATTTAATGACAGATAAGCTTGCAGCGGGGCATACCCCACCCACCCAAAACCTTAAAAGCAGGGAAATAAAAAGTTAATGGGAAAGATGTGCAGTCCTTTTCACCTTCATATTGAGTACAACTGCAATACACTGCAATGTCCCATAGGAGTTTTGCTACCATCTCCAACAGATAATCCAAAGCAGAAATAACACTATAACAACAATTTTATTTATACAGTACCCCAGCCGCTAAAAAAGGACTTGTGTGCTGAACAATAAAAAAATCCTCATTAACAAAAACACCCCAACCTCCACAAAATTACAGACAACATGGGTAAACAAAAAGAATAAAAACAAGGCAATAAAACAACAACAGTAATAGTAATTTAAGAACGTCTCAAAAAATAAGCTTTGAGGGTTTTTTTTTTAAATGGGGAGAGATGAAATTACATGAATTTTCAGAGGGAGCAAAAGCTCAATCGCCTACTGACTCAAGGCATGATGTCCTGAAGCTATCCCAGCTTCATCAAATTCATACTCTAATGAAAAACCTTAACAGTGACCTCAGCAGCGTTAAGGCAAAATAACTTCCCATATGCCTGGAACGTGTGACAATCTGATGTATTGATCTGTTGACAGAATTGATATAAAAAGCATATGATGTAATTTTTTGTTGTACTAAAATTCACTGACATCAGAAATTCACCATTTCTTCTACTGTTAGATTGAAATTTTCTAATGCATCCTTAACTACAGTGCAGCTTCTGCTGCACCATAATATCAAAATCACTATCTAGCACCTTGCCGCTTTCCACATCAAGCAAAATAATTAAACTATGACTCAACTGCATCTTATTGCCTTGCCAGGTGCACCTGGGTGGACAATGCATCAAGAACTAAAATTTTAATCCAATGCATTCCCCTATGCAGCATTCCCAGCTCAAGGTGAAACATGACAGCAACATCGCCCTGAAGGTAAAGAGTATGAAGAATGCAACACAAAGAGGTTACCAATATAATATCCAACCCTCCACAATAAAAGACTTTAACAAATATTAAAATGGTTAAGGAAAAAAACACATACATGCCCATGCACACAAGAGAAATAGTTTAGCATATACAGTAATAGAGGAGCTTCTAACAAGAATCTGTAGGTAGAACACCTCTTGCTTGAGCACATCTAGAAACAGATAATTAAGCGTTGCTGAGACTGAAAGCAATTTTTTTGTTTTGTTTTGCTTTTTTTTAAGGACCCAAACCACTGTTCATAGGGTTGGATTCTGTATTGCACGTGGGATAGATTCAGGTTTCTAGAATCCATTACGTATTGTGTGGGGTGTTTTTTTTAACGATGATATACGAACCCAGAGAAGCTGAAATTCTCATGAGCTAATATTTCTTCCTTTATTGAGCAAGACAGCAAAGCAAATCAGAGTTCCAAACCAAAGCACAGAATGTGACATAGGAGTGCGCTAAACATGAAAGTTCTGTTTTGTATATTTTCTGTGCTTAACGAATAAGCTGCCCCATTGCTCACAGAAGGGCATGGCCGGCTCTAGGCACCAGCAAAGCAAGAACGTGCTTGGGGCGGCACAATTCCATGGGCGGCATTCCGTTTTTTGTTTGTTTGTTTGTTTTTTGCTTTGGCAGTTGCACTCCTAAAGCTTGGGGCGGCAAATTTTTTGCTTGGGGCAGCAAAAATGCTAGAGCCGGCCCTGCAGAAGGGGAGGGGGGAGCTGCTGGTCCCTTTAGTTCCCTGTTCCCGCTCCCCCTTTTCACTCCCATTGAGAATAACTTCCGGTTGCTGCAGGGAGAAGAAGGGGGAGACAGTTCCATCTGCAACAGCTCTGATTGGTTCTTCTGTCCCAGGAGGAAGGCAAGTTGGGGACAGGCAGGCAGGCAGAGGGCTCAAATTAGCTAAAGGTCTGGAGTGTCTCCCGTCATTGTGAGATTGGTTCCAGTCCAGCCCCAGCCAAAATCCTGTAACTGGCAAACAAAGCGCAAGAGTTGGTGAGGCTATAGTAATGTAGCATGTCCTCTTAATCGCAGGGTTTTTGAAATTTTCCAAACCAGGACTATTTAATAAAATGTCAACCCAAAAGTCAACCCTATTACTCAGTGCCCATGATGCTGCCTTGGAATCCTTAAACTTGACACTCCCTGGCATAGGCATGTTGTGGAAATTTGCCTTTGGATAAGTAAAAATGGCATAAGTTGTGTTGCTCCATCAGAGTAGGCCATGGGGCCAGCTCCTAAACAACATTCAACAGAATCACACATCTCCATATAAGTCTGGGGTTCCACAACGGTGAAGATGAAGGGATGCTATTTTCTATACATTAACGTATTTAATAAACTATTTAAATAAGATGACTGATACAGAGGTCGGTAATGATACAGTCCACTCATTTTGCACAGTGATCCAACAGCATTAATACCAAACAAACTGCCCCACAGTCTTCAGTATGTGTCTCTTCTCCTCTTCCTCTAATGTAATCATCTTATTTTACTGGGGTATTGGCAGTCAATACAAGGCACTTCTTTAGAAGTGAGAATTAGCATGTCAAATCCTATGTGACTGGAAGTGAGGGGGGGGGGCTAAAATCGTGGAGCAAGGCCCTTCTCACAAAATCTGGAGTCGACAGTTCTCACATTATCAGAATCTCATGACTGTAGGATGTTGGGGGCTGTTTGCTGTTGTTTTGGGCTTTTTAAAAATCACAGTTCCCATGGTCTCCTGATGTTTGTCAGCATCCCTGTAAACTTTAAACCTTACTCAAAATGGTTACCATTTCTCCATTTCCCTCCTCTCCCCACAGTTAGGATGAAACAGGGCTGTCCTTAGTGAAAATGATTACCCACTGGTATCCCTAATGTAGAAAATGAACAGGAAACCATGAAAGAACAGGAACATATGGGCAGGAAGGAAATTGAGGGCACATGCAAGGGAATGTAAGAAAAATTAAGAGATATAAGCAGAAGAGAAAAGTTGTTTTCCATGTGTAGTTCTCTAACCAAAGCAAAAGTGGCTTTAAAATTTAATTGCATTTATTTAAAAAATGTGCCTTTCAATTGCTTTAGTCACAAACCTATATTCAACTGAAAAGTGACAGTACAGAACAGTTGAGAGATTAGAGGAATTATAAATGGGAAAATACTCCATAATATCTACTGTATAAGTACTGATGAGCTAACAAGATAAAAATTATAGTTAAAAATGAGCTGCAAATCATCCTGAAGACACCATCTCTATCTGCATGCATGCAGTAGCTTGTACAAATGGGTTCTCTGTACCCGTTTACACAAGTTACCAAAGTGGAAAGCCAAACATGAGAAATGTCACTCATCTAAGTCTGTTTGGGTTACATTTCCTATCACCAAGCAGACAGGAAGCGTTCTCAGACTCACAAAGAAGCAAACAGAAGCCAGAGCTAAAAGTAGACTCTTTTTCTGCATGCTATTACGCTGAAAGAACGGAAACCATATGGCGATCAGGTTATTATTCAGCTAGTTAGAGCCTTCAGGTGGCTTCAAATTAAAAAGAAAGATTGTCAACAGATGTACACATCCACTCTACATCCTTTTTTCATACAGTGTATTAAAACATTATTATAACTTCATCCACTAGTGCTGCTATAGCCAAAGGTATGCCAGCATTTCAGTATCTGATTGTTACACATCGATAACTTAGTTATAAAAATTCACTCTCGGCTGAGCCTTTAGGTTTTTGGAATGGTCAAAAGTAGTTGTAAGCATTTAAGATGTTTCTACATTTTAAACATATTAACTCTGGCACAGATACCGCTTTCTCGTCTACTGTGTCAGTTATCTGTGCACTTACCAATTCAGCACTGAGTGCTGTACCAACCTTCTCTTGTGAACAAGCCCATCCAACACGTCCCCATTACATTATGCCCTAAGATTACATTGATTTGAAAGGAACTGTCATAGACAGCTATACCAGAATAAACACATGTTAAAGCTTTAAGAGTTTAATGACAGCCTAATATTTTCTTTTTCATGTTTGAGTGGTATCGGCATTCA